GTTCAAGTCTTTGTTTTGATTTAGATTTCAACCTAGTGAAGTCGAAGTCTTTGTTTTCATTTGAAATTCAACCTAGTGAAGTTCAAGTATAGGTTTTTATTTGGATTTCAATCTAGTGAAGTTCAAGTCTTTCTATATTTTTTTTCTTTTTATAAATCCACTCCTTAATCTAGATTATGCAAACACTTAACTGCAAAAGAAACCTTAATTTTCTGATCATGGGTTAAGAATTGAAAGACTATACAGGGGAGAGAAGATAATATAGAAAGCGTATGGAGAAGAAGAACTATAACAGTGAAGAGAAAAACCCCCAACTTGGGTGTCTCAATCAATATACTGCAGAATATATACAGAGTAATTACAAGGGTAAAAAAGGAAATACCCTCAATTATAAGGCAAAGATTCTGCCTTAATTACAGGCATAAATGCTTGATTACCAAGCCTAACAACCATACTAAAAATATATAAAACAATTTATTTTGTTACAATATTTACGCTTACACCCCCCCTCAAGTAAGACGTCCGTAAGGGAGGCGCAACTTGACAGATAAAGCATTAAACCTGACTTTAGAGAGGCCCTTTGTGAACAAATATGCTAACTGGTCATCAGTGGATATATAGTGTAGCTTTAAAAATCCACGAGTGACCAATTCTCTTATGAAATGATAGTCTATCTCAATGTGACGGGTACGGGCATGAAATACTGGATTGCGAGCCATATGTAGAGCTGATAAATTGTCACAAAAGAGAGAGGGGGGATGAAGAAAGATATTCAACTCACGAAACAAGTAAGAGAACCATCTAAGTTCCGCTGTAGTAGTAGCAAGGGCACGATATTCAGCTTCGCTGCTTGATCGAGAGACGGTCGGCTGTTTCTTGGCGGTCCAAGATACAAGATTTGGGCCAACATAGATACAAGTACCTGTTGTAGATCGACGATCATTCGGATCTCCTGCCCAATCTGAGTCAGAGTAGGCGCGAATGTGAAAAGATGTGGACACGTAGAATGACAAACCCTCCTGTAGTGTGCCTTTAATGAACCGTAGAATACGTTTAGCGGCCTGTAGATGAGAGGTACGAGGTTGGTGCATGAATTAACATACTTGATTTACTGAAAAGGCAATGTCTGGTCTGGTAAGTGTGAGATATTGTAGGCCACCAACCATGCTGCGATACTCAGTAGCATCTGGAAGTAGGTCACCCTCATGTAACGACAATCGAGAATTGGGAGCACTAGGAGTAGTAGCCGCCTTGCATCCAGTCATGTTGAATCTTTCCAAAAGATCCAGAGCATATCTAGTCTGTCTTAGCTGCAAAGTGTGACAATTTCGAGTAGCCTCAATGCCAAGGAAATAATGTAAGTTGCCAAGACGACGACTGTCAAAAGTGTTGCATATCACATCAATGATAGAGGAAACAGCGGAAGGAGAGGATCCGGTGATAATTATATCGTCGACATAGATTAGAAGAATGGTAGTAGACTCATTCGCGTGTTTGATGAATAAAGAGGAATCAGATTGGCTGTTAAAGAATCTGTGGTGTAATAGAAAATCATGAAGTCGTTGAAACCATGCCCGTGGACTTTGTTTGAGACCATAAAGGGCACGGTCTAGTTTGCACACATGATTTGGGAAGGATTTAGAGATGAATCCCGGTGGTTGCTTCATATAAACATCTTCATGAAGAATGCCATTGAGAAAGGCATTTTTGACATCCAATTGTTTGATATCCCAATGTTGAGCATGGGCTAAGGAGAGAACAGTACGAATTGTTGATGGTTTAACCACCGGGCTGAATGTTTCTGCATAATCAAGTCCTTCCTGTTGGGTGAACCCTTGTGCCACCAATCGAGCCTTGTGGCGTTCAAGGGAGCCATCAGCTTTTCTTTTGACCTTAAAAATCCATCTGCATCCCACAACATTCATACCTTGCTGAGAAGGAACAAGGTGCCAAGTCTTGTTTTTGTGTAGGGCAGTAATTTCCTCTTGCATTGCATGTTGCCAATGAGGAAATTTTGATGCTTGTTTAAAAGTTCGAGGTTCAGAAAACACATCATCTAATTTGGTGGCTATCAGACCATGGGGCAATGGATAGGGTGATGTTTTCTGGTAGATATCAGCAAGGGACCTGATTTTGAGGGTTGGGTTTAAACTTTCTGGTCTTTCAGCGGCTGGATGTGTAATATTTGAAGATGCAGGTATGGCAGGTGAGGGAGTGCATAACTCAGGAGTGACTTTTTGAACTTTGGGTGAAGATGATGCAGGGGTGGCTGGTGAAGAAGATGTATCTGGAGTGAAGTTTACTTGTGATGTCTGCCCAACGCTTGTATGTTGATGGTCACCTGGTATTGTTGTAGGCGTGGTTGGTGTTGAAGGATCTGGTGTTGGAATTGAGCTTGGGGTGGGAGTTGTTTGCTCAATAATTGGATTGTGGATTTCTGTAGAGTTTTGAGCTGTTGCAATGTTGGGTTGTGAGGTGGCAGGTGAGGTTGAAAACGAGTGTTGCATATCTTCAGCCATATGGTTGGTCCTCAGTTGTTGCTGTGTTTGACCAGGTACAGACCATGCACTTTTATTTCTCAAAGGAAAATCCAATTCATCAAAAACAACATGTCGTGAAATATAAACACGACCATTTTTTAAGTCCAAACATCTATAGCCCTTGCGAGTATTATCATAGCCAAGAAAATACAGTGAGTTGATTTTGGCATAAGCTTGTGAGAATTATACGGCTTAATGTAAGGAAAGCATGAACATCCAAAGACTTTGAGAAAGCGATAATCAGGGTCACACAAGAGAAGTTTTTTGGTAGGGAGAGAAAAAATCTAATTGACGCATTGGGAGTCTGTTGATGAGGGTGCACAGCAGTGCTAAATGCTTCAAGCCAAAACTTAAATGGAACGTGTGATTTTGTCATAAGACACATACCCATTTGGACTATGTGTCTATGTTTTCGTTCCACTACACCGTTTTGTTGAGGTGTATAGGGACAAGTGATTTGATGTTTAATTCCCCATTTTGACAAAGAAGCTTTAAATTGCCTACTAGTGAATTCACCACCACCATCGGTTTGTATAGTCTTAACAGAATGAGCAGCTGTGATTTTTCTAGATAACTGATTCTCAATTTGTGTTTTAAAAGTGGCAAAAATATTAGTAACATCAGATTTATGAAACAATGGAAAAAGCCACACATAACGAGAGAAATCATCGATTATTGATAAGTAAAACCCGATGACCATTCATAGAAAGAACCGGGGAAGGGCCCCAAACATCAAGGTGAAGCAATTCAAGAGGATGAGAAGCATTAAAATTCCTAGGAACAAAAGCTAGTTTAGTTGATTTTCCCATGGGGCATACATGACAACACTGTGTTTCTGAAAGTTTGCCATTTATTGGTAAATTAAACTTGCTACAAAGAACTTTAAGAATATTAGAAGAGGGATGTCCTAAGCGATCATGCCAGGTGTTGGGAGTTGACCGTTCGCCTAAGAGAGCAACTGGACTGTGAGGTGTATTTGGATTGAATGACAGCTGATATAGACCTCCAAAACTATGACCAGAAAGAAGAATCTCCCGCGTTTGAATGTCCTTAACACGAAAACCACACCAATCAAGTTCAAAGAAACAATTGTTATCTTTAGAAAATTGGCGAATGGACAATAGAGGTTTGTGCAAATTTGGAATAAACAAAACATTATTCAACTTAAAGAAACGATTCTTATGAAGGAAAGCAGATTTACCAATACGAGAGATAGGTAAGCTTGTGCCATTACCAAAAATCACTGAATTTTTACCTGTATAATGAGAATAATCGGACAGGCTAGAGGGATCCGGTGTCATGTGGTTTGTAGCACCCGAGTCCAAGACATAAGGTTCAGATTGTGAGAAGTATGCATCATTGTTACGTTGTGCACAAACTCTCGCATCATGACCATACTGATAGCAAAGTTGGCATGGAGAATCGTAGTCAGGAAAGTGCCCCTGGTGAGATGGAGTGGGTAAAATTCCCCTGCCATGAGAACTTCCTCCTCTGAATGATCCTCTTGTGCGACCACCACCACGTCCACCTCTATTATTTCGTCCATAACTATTGCTCCATTGTTGTCCAACCCAATTATTTCTTCCCTGGTTTTCGCCTCTACCAGAATTAGGGTTACCACGACCACGGCTCCCCCTATTACCATTCCCGCTGTTATTGGGACGAGATGATGACTGAGGTTGAGAAGGGGAGGTTTTAGTTGCAACTAGGGCTGTAGTCTGCTCAACCGGAATTGTAAATTTTTGTTGTAACATTTCTTCTTTAAAAAGCAATTCCGTCAGTTCATCAAGATTAAGTGACTGTCGGATATGTGATGAGGACATAGAGGTGAGCAATTCTTTGAACTCAGCACCGAGACCACCAAGAATGTGCTGAATAAGTTCATAGTCTTCAAGAGGTTTTCCTGCAGCAATGAGGGAATCTGATATAGTTTTGGCTTGGAGAAGATAATCTGAAACCGAGAGGTCAGTTGGTTTCTTCAGGTTGTGAAGACGGTCCTGTAAGTTTTCAATTTGGATAGCCGATGTGGAGCCAAAACGCTTTGCTAGAACACTCCACGCTGCAGGTGCAGTGTCACACGAGTTTAGGTAAGGTTGGATGGCAGGGGTAACAGTGCCTTTTATCCAGCAGCAGATCAGGTCGGTTGCATTCTTCCATTTGTGGTGATCTGGGTTCTCTTTACCATCAGCAAGGGTTTTTGGGGGTGGGTTTGGGTCAATAACAAATAATAGTTGGTGGGCTCGTAGAAGTGTTTTGAACAGGGTACTCCAGTTTACATAATTCTCTTTGGTAAGATGAATGTGAGCCATGATGGCATTAGGGTTGTAGAAAACGGGAAGAGATTGAGAATTAGTCATTCCTGATGAGCCAGAATCGTTAGTCATGGTTGATTCAGAATCCATGACCAGCTCTGATACCATGAAAGACTATACAGGGGAGAGAAGATAATATAGAAAGCGTATGGAGAAGAAGAACTATAACAGTGAAGAGAAAAACCCCCAACTTGGGTGTCTCAATCAATATACTACAGAATATATACAGAGTAATTACAAGGGTAAAAAAGGAAATACCCTCAATTATAAGGCAAAGATTCTGCCTTAATTACAGGGCATAAATGCTTGATTACCAAGCCTAACAACCATACTAAAAATATATAAAACAATTTATTTTGTTACAATATTTACGCTTACAAGAATCACATATTTGAGGGCATAAAGATATTTTAGGCAATTGTAGTGATGATTGGCTTGATGCATTGTTGTTAGAATTAGAGTTGATATAGAAGAACAATATATAAACTAGAGATGACTTGTTTTTTGTGAAGGGTTTTGAATGTTGTCCCTAGAGTTCTCTCTAAATACGTATGCCTGGTGTTTTTTGTAATCTTTACAATCTGTTTGATGAAATGAAATTAGGCAGCCAACATATTATTTCTTGATGAACCTGCTGGATCTGGATTCTCATATGGAAAATCTCCTGAAGCTTACATGACAAACGACACATTAACACCAATTCTGATACACAAATTTATAAGGAAGGTAAGATAATATCCAGATGAAAAGATCTATATTTTTCATTATTTTTAGTTAGCATATCTCTAGTTAATACAACCATGCGTGTACATATTTGAATGCATACACACATACTCCATCTGAGTCCATGAATGGATTAATTATTAATTTTATAACTCAAGTGTCATACATGAAACAATTACTTAAAATTTCATTCCATCCAAGCATTACGAGTATATTTAAATTTATATATGTTTTAGATAAAAACTAATATCATGTTTATTTTTACGTCAATCCAACTAGTGGCTTGTGGATCATTCTAAATTTGTCAAGAATCACTTATATGTTGGTGGTGATTCCTACAGTGGCATAGTAGTGCCAATGACTATTCAGAAAATTTTTAACGGTATGCTATTTTCAGGAAATATATAACATGTTAGAGAGAACATGCTGAAATACTTGGGCTTTTAGCTTCTTTTTCGTATTTTGTAGGTAATGAAGGTGGAGAAGAGCCACATATCAACATCAAAGTACAATTTGATCCTTTATTTATATCAGTTGAATTTTCCTATATATTTCTATTTCTTTCTGAATTTCAATATGCAATGAAATTGATATATGATTTTCCAACATAGGGGTACATTCTTGGTAATCCTGTAACAGAAAAAAATGATGAATATAATGCAAAAATCAAACAAGCTCATCGTATGGCACTCTTATCAAATAAAATATACGAGGTAAATATTTAAGTACTATTGAGTTGTGACTAATACCATAAGTGTTAGTAAATTATTTTGTTTACACAGTTCCTAGCTACTGTTTGTAATAACTATCACTCCAAATGTTTGGAAATTAATATAGATGCATATTTTTCCAGTCGGTTAAAAATAATTGTCATGGTGAGTACTTCAATGTAAATCCAAACAACAGTCTTTGCATACATGATCTTCAAGTGGTACACAGGGTACATAATAAATCTAGACTTTTACTTAGACTATTAGCTTACAATGTACATCCAAAATTTCATTTGATTTTAATTAGTGCTTTGTTATGTTGAATCTACAGTGCGTTGAAAGAATTAACGTGTACAACATGATAGAGCCTGCCTGTGACCCTTTAAACACATCAAAATCTGAGCTCTTGAGGAGGGACTTAAGGTCTCTTCACAAGACATCTATTGATATTTGGTCATCAGATGAAGTTCACACACAATGGGATTGCGTATTACTCTCTAACTCTGTCTTGCATGTCATTCCTTCATTTGAAAAAATATCCATCATACTTGCATTTTTATATATGCAACTTCAAATCTATGAGTGAATGACGTTCGGAAATAATCACATGCAATGATGGTTTGAAAATAATCAGCTATACATGTTGAAATTCAAAATAGATTCATGTTATCTTAAATAATTAAAATTCTTTGTTGGTCCGTTCAAAATTTTTTAATTTTTTTTTCTCTGAAATTTAGGTTTCTAAACACTTAGTTTTAAAAGATAGAATTTTTATATATTATATGTGTTCTACATGTGTCTTTAGCCAATAATTTGAATATTTAAATAAGTGCAATGGCGGACAAAGATTAAATTTAAGAGTAGAAGCATAATTAAAATATGATTTAGCGTCTAAAGAGGTGTAGTTTTAAAATAGCATACTAGTGTTAAAAACATTTAAGACTACAATTGAAAATATTTTATATTAATATCCTTACAAACAATTACCAAAATGTCTTTGTCCTAATGATTGAGGTTCAAGTCTTGTTGTAGACAAATAATATACATTTAAGAGTAAATTAGTTGGTGTGTAAGCCGTTCTAAAAAAATATCTTTATAAGTAATTAATTTTTAATTTGGTTTATGAAATACATATTAATGTTTTCTTTCCAATTTATCTGAGACAATGAAAGTTTACCAAACCCAAAAAAGTTTAACATACCTTATTAATTTGGTTTATGAAATACATATTAATGTTTTCTTTCCAATTTATCGGAGACAATGAAAGTTTAACAAACCCAAAATTTTAACATATCTTATTTAGATTTACATTTAGTTGTAAATCAAACCAAATTAATCGATAACCGATTAAAACAAACCTTATTCGATTCGATTTCGATTATATTTTTGAAGTAAAAAATCAGATTTTTTTAATATTTTTAAAAGTAAAAAACCAATCAAATAACATCATACCACAATAATAAAGCTTATTAGTTGAACTTTTTATGGCACATAAACATAATTCATCAATTTAAAAACAAAAAAAAAAATCTAAAAGAAGAAGAATTTTTTCATCAATTTATTTATAAGATGCATGAATTTTATTTATATAATTTATTATTTATATAAGCAATTTATTTAAAATTGGTTGGAAATTGATAGGACGTACATACTCATTGGAAAAATTTATAGCAATTACTTCTCTTTATAAAGTATCTGAATTAACTTTGAATTAACTTTTAACTCAATAAGCTTATGAAAAACTTCCTATTATGGATCCCCTAATAACATTTCATCAAATTTGTATGGAATAGTTTATTTGTTTCAATATATATAAGTATTACTAATTAAACATATTAATATAAAGGGAAATGACAAAAATGCCCTACAAAGTTTATAGGGTTAGTCGATTCAGTCTCTAAATTTTTGTCGGACTTTATGGGTCCCTAAACTAGGATACGACCTGCTCTTTTAGTCTATGTCAAACATGTAATAGTCGGTTCATTATGCGACAATGACCATTTAGACCAAAAAAACTCACATTGTGCCCCTATAAAGCCAAAAAAATAAATTTGGGGATCAAATGCTGGTCTCACCTTCATCTCCACCCAATACCACCCTTATTCCACCTTCCTTACAACCTCCTCCGTCAACCCGTCATCCTAACTGAACCAACTGCTCATCAACATTTTATTCAACCATTACAGCCACCATAACCCACCTTAATCACCATCGAATAAATATCACAATAGCCTAATCCAACCACCCTTATTCCTCCCCTTTGTCTCGTGAAATCAACCACCATCGGAGCACCCATAACCCACAAAAACCACCAGTCAACCACCATAACCAATCACCTGCAAATCGAAGAAAAAAAAATTAACTCTCGTTTTCAATGTGAACCTCATCAAACCCATGCATCCTTCTCAACCTTGCATCCATCAAACCTACAACTCGAAGGGAGAATGAGAGGTAGCTTGTGCGATTTTGAACAAAGAAGAAGGAAGGATGGGGTCAATTCCTTGAAGAGCTGAAATCGAATCAAAGAAAAGAGTGGAAGGGGGCTGTGATCGAGAATCGATTAGAAGGAGAAGAGGGTTGTGATCTTAGGTGAGTGTGTGTGACGATCGAGGGTGAAGACGGGAAGAAGAGCAACAATCAATTTCTTGGGAGGGTATGAATTGAGTGTGAATCGGCTTTAGAAGAAAAGAATGAGAGCTAATAAAGTCGATTTTTGTTGCTGGATGCTGGTATACACGAAGACACACATGAAACCGAATGGGCTGCTATCTTTCATTATTCTCCCAAATCACTTCGATCTTGTGGCATAAACATTTGACCCCCCGAACTTATTTTTTTTTGGCTTTATAGGGGCACGACGTGAGTTTTTTTGGTCTAAAATAATCACTGTCACATGGTGAACCGGATCTTACAAGTTGACATGGACTAAAAAAACAAGTCGTATCTTAGTATAGAGACTCATAAAGCTCGACAAAAACTTTAGGAACTGAAGCGACCAACCCTAAAAACTTTGTAGGGCATTTATGTCATTTTCCCATTAATATAATATATTCGTTATAATAATAATATAATATACAGTTGGTACACAGAGGTGTATACATGAAATAAAAATGAGAAGATAATAGAATCACACTTTTTAAAACACTTTAGACCTTAGCTATTAAAATTATTTTGAACCCGAGTACAAAATACATTATTTGCAAAAATCAAATCACTTTATTATATAATAAGAAAATTGTTGTTTTTTAATGATTTGATTTTTCTAGGGTATTATGGTTTCTTATACTAGAATTTTACAAGTATAATTTTCATGTTAAAACTAAGTATGATTTTTCTTTTGTTTGCAGAATTCAATGTCTGCATACACTGAGGCATGGGCTAATAGGAAAGATGTAAAAGAGGCTCTTCATGTTAGTGAGGTTTGTGGTTAGAGGAATTCTATTTATGTTCATCTTTATTATGTAAAATAATAATCGTATGGCTACCAGGACTTTAACAAAATTAGGTGGGTGGTATGCAATGAAAGCTTGACTTATGATTATGGTAACCCAGTGAAAACTTACAAGTTCAACGTCTTGAGTACTGTTGCTTATCATCAAGAATTTTCTCATAGACATTTACGAGCTCTAGTATATAGGTATTACCCATAGTTAGTCATGCTTCTTAATTTTCATAAATATCTGGCTCATAATATATATTTATATCTATTTTTTTTTGAGTCGGCCATTGGTCGCTTATATTAACGCACACATATGGTTAGGGCCGTAAACGAATTGAACGTTCAACGAGCTGTTCGTTAACCGTTCGGCAGGAAGTTCGTTTATGTTCGTTTATTTAATAAATGAACGAACATGAACACAAATTCTCGTTTGTTTAGTTAAACAAATGAACATGAACAATGGTACCGTTCGTTCAATTATGTTCATAAACGTTCTTTTATGTTGTTCGTTTACGTTCGTCTATGTTCGTTCATATAACTTCCTTTTATGTTAATATATACTTAATTATGTTTGATTATATTACTATATTATATGTTCTTTTATGTTCATATATGTTCAATTATGTTTGTTTATCTTTGTTCATTTATGTTCGTTTAGCATGTTCACAAACATAAACGAACGAACATGAACAATGTAATTTCTTAAACAAACGAACATGAACAAGAAAACTCGTTCGTTTATCCGTTCTTGTTCGTTCATTTGTTCGTTTAACGTAAACGAATGAACATGAACAAGCCCCCGTTCGTGTACGTTCGGTTCGTTTACAACCCTACATATGGTATTTAGAGAACTTGAAAGAAAACAATTATTAATAATATTTTGGTTCTTTGTTGTCTTCTCAAAAAAGTGGAGATCATGATTTATTTGTTCCACATTTCTCTACACTGAAATGGATTAAATCGATAAATTTATTACTCGTGGAGGATTGGAGACCGTGGTACGTCGACAAACAAATAGCCGGGTTAGTTATGTTTTTATTAGGATCACATGAACTCTGATCATCGATATAAATATTAAAAATGGTAATTTCTAATCATATTCTACTATCTCATTCCATGCAGATATACGATGAAATACTCAAACCATGACTATAGACTGACATTTGCTACAGTAAAGGTGAGAAATCTTCCTTAAAAACTTCTTCTCATTTGGTGCTTATCCTATCTCATGAAAACAACTATATTTGACTTCATAAATATGTTGACTATTTTTTTTGAATATAATAAAAATTGTGCACCTAAGACTTAGTTTATTACAATACACTTCCAATCCTTCTAATAAAAGTTTTGCAATATTCTATGAGCTAAAAGGAACATTTCATGTTATGATTATGATGGTCGATCCTTTTGTTTTATTAAAGGGAGGAAGTCACACGGCTCCTGAGAATAGACCTAAAGAATGTTTAAATATGTTTATGAGGTGGATTACTAATGTTGACTTGTAAACAAAAACCATAAAAGTTTGATGTTAGTTTCTTAGGGTGTGTGCACCTGTTTGTATGTTTTATATTTTCTATAAGTTAGTTCAATTGATACTGTAATGTGTGTTGGTTTAAATAAAAAATAACTTGTGCAATGAATAAATGTATCTTGGTATTGATAATATTTAGGTAATTTGAAACACCCGTCGCATATGATATTTTAAGTAACCATTTTTTAAATAATTTTAAAAACATTTTTAGAGTTTTAATTTGGCATACGGTCATAAAGTTTAAATTTCTAAAATAGTTTGGAAAAAAACATGCGCGAGTGTAAAAATTTAGTTAAAAGATAATGTTTTAGTTAAATAATACTAATTATACTAAAATATGTCTTTTATATATCCGTATATTTCACAATCTTCAATTCTACTAGTTATCCACTACTAACCTAAAAATACTTGGGAAAAAGAAACATGCGCCCTATGAACTTTATACGGGTTTACCCTTTTAGTCATTTACCTTTTTAAGTGGGTTTATGAGGGAATAAATTGTGAAGTGACCTGTCTTTTTGGTCACCTTAACCTGAAATTACCGGTTCTATCTACCAAATAAGCAATTAAAGTTGATCTGGCTTGTAAAGTTCACAATGTCAACTACCGTAGTCAAAATACTTGGGAATTGTTTCACTCGTGTACTAGAAAAAAACTTTTTCCCTAAGTAATTCGTCAAACACACCTCCGCTAAGAACTTCTAAAGAAAATGTTAACTCTGCAATTTGTTTAACTTTGATGAGTAAATGTCAACTAGAGTTGCTGATTAAAATCCGACCTACGAATTTCTGGAAAAAAATCACGAAATCTACATAAGAATCAACTCAAAATAACTTGTTTTACTTCATTGAATCGAATTCATTATCCAATTCCATTAATCGTGCTACAATAGTGAAATCATATATATATATATATATATATATATATATATATATATATATATATATAGAGAGAGAGAGAGAGAGAGAGAGAGAGAGATTTACCAATCTTTCTAGTGTTAGTGTTGGTAAAGGTATACATAAGAAGGTGAACAATACACATACTGAAACTTTGATTGTATGAAGACAACGCCCTCTACAATTCATTATCATCAATTACTCCACTCCCGTCCTAATCGGAGACCTGGAAACACACCACCAAGTTCGAATTTGTTCCTAGAGGAAACGTTGATGACAAAAGATCGCAAAATGGGTTGTCGTATCCACCCTCTGCCTGTGGGTATCCACCGTTGGGTTGAGGTGCATCGTAGGGGGATGATGAGGGTTTGTTGGGAAGAAGGAAGAGGGAAAGCTTTTTAGTGCCAAAGATTTGGCTTAGAGGGAAGAAGGAGAAGCCTAATTCAATGGTGGTTGCCACTATTGGGACGTCGTCAAAAGGGGTTTTCTCATTCCGTTTTACCGTACACTAGAATGACATCAAGGCAAACAATAGGGCTAATTCTGAATTGCATATTGAAAGGTGATCAGATAACTTGTAGATGAGGATGAACGCACAGAAGAGGTGAGACAGTTTTGCATCGTAGCTTGCAAGAACAGGTTGTTTAACCTCTTCACCAAATTGCTTCTGCAATAGGTTTTCTTGTGGTGATTTGGGATGAACGAAAACAAATGCAAAGCTCTCACCATAGAATTAGTGGATAAATCGATTTTCTTATGTTGATTTAGGGATATATGGAGAAGACAAACCATAAGAAGGATTCATGTCACTGTGTGTTTGTGTATGTGGGAGAGAGAGAGGGGGGGGGGAGGTGTCATTTCCTTTATAATAAACAAATAAATAATTACATCAATTAAGTGAGTTGGCATAAGGGTAACCAGGTTACCCCTTCGTTTTGTAAAAAATGATCTATTCGACTCGACAAAACTAAATTTGTTCCCTCATAAAGCCACTTAAAAAGTTAAGTGACTAAAAGGGTAAACCCTAGAAAGTTCATAGGGCGTTTGTGTCATTTTCCCAAAATACTTCAATGTAGTTAGTTAGGTTTGAGAATCCAGAAGTAAATCTCAGTTAGACATTATATGGAGAGTATATAAATAAACACTTAATTTATATATATATATATATATATATATATATATATATATATATATATATATACCTCTTTAAAACTCAACAACTATCAATCCGTTTTTTTGGGAGGGGGTTGTGATGAGGGAAACATAGCATAAGTCTAAGTACAATATTGTTAACATCAAATCTCATATAAAGTTGTAAGCATCATAAAGCAACAAAAAATGTATAAAAATTAATGTAGGTAATGCAACATAGTTCCTAAACCCCGAGTCAAGTACAACTCACCAAACAAGTTCATCTTTCCTAAGGTAGAACTTATTGGAACTTTGCTTATAGCCTAAAAGGATTATCCCACATTGGAGAAAGAAAGAACCTTGACTAGCTTTATAAGCCTTTGTCTCCACATATTTTTAAATGGTTAAAGCAAGACAAAAAGACATTTGGGCTAGAATTGTGGTATTGGGCTATCAAATTAGTCTTGGATAAAGGTTGTCATTAAATATAATTAATGGTGAAAAGATGGCATTGGGCCTTGGGGCTCTTCTTGATCGATTAATTAATTTTTATATACACAAATTCCGAAATTGATTTTTTAATTACAAAATCTGTTAATTGTTAATTAACTGATTGGAAGTTAATTAGGCAGTTAATTTCAGGTTTTGAACAGGTATGATGGTTGGCAGTTTTTAACTGCTATCTGATAGGCTATAAAAATATGATCAATTGACAGATTAAAGGGTTGATCACATACACAATAACACCACTTTCTTTCACTCTCGTTTTTTTGGGAAATCTAGGAAGCATGAAGAATTTCGTCAGGATAAATATTCAATCTTGATCAGATTGCTGTATCCTCTAGACAGATCCCTACCAGGGAAATTTCTGTCTTAGGATACTGCAAAACAGACCTTAATCTCTACTTATTTTTATGATTAGTGAAACTGTTGTAAACATCCAAATACAAGTATGTTCTTCTGATTTGAGAGTCTTTGTATATTAATTTGATTTATTTATGTTTCTGTTTGTTCAATTCCGTATTTGATTACTTTTGTCCTAACAATCTAAGACAAAAATCAAAAAGTGAAGAATGGATCAAAATTCCATCATCAAAACACATGTGGAAAATCCTGAGAAATTCAAAGGCTCAGATTTTCGAAGATAGCAACAGAAGATGTTGTTTAGTCTAACAACTCTTCATGTTTCCAATGTTCTCACTGATGATTGTCCATCTCCTCTTACTGGTGTAAGCACTGCAGAAGGAACAACACCACCTACTGCAACCTAATTGGTAGAACATCAAAGGGCTGTGGAAACTTGGAACACAAATGAATATAATTGCAGAAATTATATTCTGAATGCTTTGGATGATTCCCTCTATGATATCTACTCTACCATGACTACTTCAAGAGAGACATGGGAATCACTAGAAAATAAATACAAAACAGAAGTGACATGTTCTAAGAAATTCATGATTGGAAAGTTCATGAATTACAAGATGGTGGATACCAAATCTGTCCTCAAACAAGTGGAGGAAATTCAAGTCATTGCACATGATCTTGAAGTTGAAGGTATGGGTATAAACTCTAACTTTCTTGTTGGTTCAATCATTGAAAAACTTCCTCCTTCTTGGAAGAATTTCAAACTATATCTTAAGCACCTAACTGATGACATGAGTTTTGAGCAACTTGTGTTGAGAATTTGTGTGGAAGAAGATAACAAATTAAATGAGAAGGAAGATGAAAATTCCTTGGAACCAAGTGCAAACTTTGTTGGAGAAGCAAGTACTACAAGGACCAAGCATAACAACGAGAAAGGGAAGCAAGGCTCCAAAAACTCTTCCAAAGATGGCAAAAATCATGGCCCAAACAAGAAGAATTTCAAGAAGAATTCTGGTCCATGCTATGTTTGTGGAAAAACCGGACACAAAGCCTAAGATTGCAGATTCAGGAGGGGTCAAGGAGGAAACAATAGAGGGAACAATGGAAACAATGGTCATAATTCTGGTGGAGGAACTTCTGGTCAAACCAACATGGTTGAATCACCAAATCAGTTTGTTGATGTGATTTAAACCAACATGGTTAGCAATTGTGTGGATTGGTGGATTGATACTAGAGCCACAAGGCACATTTGGAACTCTCGAACCATATTCTCTACATACCAGAAAGTCTCTAATTCTGAACCAATGTTTATGGGGAATGGCTCTACTGCAAAAATGGAAGGAAAAGGAAAAGTGAAGCTATAACTGACTTCTGAAAAAGAACTTGTTTTAAGTGATGTCTTGCATGTTCCTGAAATTACTAAGAATCTGATTTATGGTCCTATTCTTAGTAACAAGGGGTTCAAACTTGTATTTGAGTCTGATTAGTTTGTTCTCACCAAGGGTGGGATGTATGTTGGCAATGGATACCTTAGTGAGGGTCTCTTCAAAGTCAGTGTCTTACCTTTGTACTATGGTGTTGAAACACCAAACAATGATGTAACAAATGTTAATGCTAATGCAATAATGGGCACTACTAGCCCATCTTCTATGTATATGCATGATCCTTCATTTTTGTGGCATTCTAGATTGGGACATGTCAATTTTCGTTCTATTCAAAGAGTGGAAAAACCTGGCATGCTACCAAAATGTTCATTAGATAAAAACATAAAATGTGAGGTTTGTGCAGAGTCAAAATTTTCACAACATCCTCATAAATCATTTGAAAAATCTAATGAAATACTTGGCTTAATCCACTATGATTTATGTGATTTTAGAGCAACACCTACAGGAGGAGGAAAGAATTATTATATTTCCTTTATTGATGATTGCAACAAGTATTGTTATATTTATTTCTTAAATACCAAGGATGAAGCCTTGAATTCTTTTAAGAATTACAAGGCTGAACTTGAAAATCAACTTGACAAAAAGATCAAAATTCTAAGGCCTGATCGAGGAGGAGAATATGAATCCAAAGATTTTGCTGAATTTTGTTCTTTAAATGGTATTATACATCAACCAACTGCTCCATATACTCCTCAACAAAATGGAGTGGTAGAAAGAAGAAATAGAACATTGAAAAATATGATTAATTCAATGTTAATTACTTCTGGAG